AAAAGGCCATCAGCCCCTGACTTGATTTAACATCTTCATCTTTTGTGAGATCTGCCCGATCCCAACTTCTCACAAGTGGAAGAACTTCGTAGGAAGAGTAGGGGTGGAAAACAGCTCCCCATGGGCCCCTTGGAGACTTGAATTTTTCTGGTACTGATTCACCCACGATGAAGCCAGCCCAGCTCTCTGCATACTAAATTATTTTTTTTAAAAAACCATAAATGACAGTTAAAACATTAATGAAAAAATGTACTGATGATATTTTTGCTGAAAATCCTTTTGATGTCACTTTTACAGAACTACTTGGGAAGTCATGTCTTGGCCCAATGCTCTTCTAAATTCAAGGTTTAGATTTGGAAGTTTTTTAGGCTAAACTTGTTAATGCGTTATTAGTAGGTGTTAACTTTTGGGAAGGCTTTTTGAATGGGATCAGATTTTAAATTTCCCTTCTAATTTGGGCAATTACAGGAGATTTTTTGAAGTGTTCAGTGGCCAAAAAGCTGGCTCCCCTCTCCAAGAAAAGCCTTCTCAACTACTTTGGTGCTATTGGCGTTTTCAACACCTAGACCACTGCTGATCTGTTCAAAATGCTCCCACTTCCAGTCAGTGATGGAAGTGTTGGGATCTTTTTTTTTTTTCTTTTTTTTTTTTTCCAATTAAGTAGAAACCTTCACCTGGCTCAGCCCCAGTTTCTATTCCCTGAAAACATTTTTCATATTCAGTGACAAATCTCCTGACATTGCTAAGACAAGCAATCGTTTCCTGAGAGCTCCTCAAGCAAGGTGAGACCTGTTCTGTTCTTGGATGGCAGCTAACGAGGGAATTTCACCGGCCTGCAGGAAGCGATTAGGATCACCACTTGGAGCAGCCTCCTCAGTCAGTGCTGGTGCTACAGGGGTGCAGCCTCTTGGACTGCAGAGAAAAACCCGTTTTCTCACCCCTCCTTAAGATCTCCCAGATACGGTAAAGCCGCCCACTTTCAGTGTGCCTGGAGTGATGTTTAATCCTCTGTGCATTTCATGTAGTGCTATCGAATTTCACTTATCGTCATTATTGATGAGTGACACAGAGGTTAAATGATTCGCATCAAGACATTTTGCTAGGAAAAAAAAAAATAAATTAACACATCACTTTTCCATCAGTTGAGACACTTTGCTCAGATGCCAGTCAGATGGTAAGTGCAGCAGGCAGGTACCTTCTCAGCAGGCTGCTTTGCCAGCTGGGAAATGGGGCCAATAAAGCCACCTGGAGATTACCAAGTTCTTGCTATACAATAATAGTGGGCAGAAAGGGAGAAGCACGTTTGTTTCCTGCAGCTTGGCTGAGCCGCAGAGGCTGGGAGCGCCTTTGCTCCAAGGTCTGCAGCCAAGGGCAGGATGCTGGGGCTGCCAAAGGGTGGGGTAGCCCACCTACAGAGTCCAGGCCTGCGGCTGCTGTGCCTTTCCAAGGCTTACTATGAATCAATCCCAGCTGTGTTCCTTGGTCCCTGTCTGCCACAGTCATTTCCACCCGAGCAGGTGACTAAAGTCCTCCAAGCACTATATAGCTGCTGTGCCACCCATCACACCACCGTCTCAGGTGATGGCAGCTTGCATGATGGGTCCATGGAGCAGTGGGCAAAAGAGGTAACGGCTAAAAATGGTGCTTTTGTTCCCCAAAGCCCTTTATGTGAAGCTCTACAGATCTAAACTCTTCAAAAAATAGATCTCATACCTACATAAGCATCACTTCTCTTGTTTTGCTTTTGTCATGGCCAGTAACTCCTCACGGCCCCTGAAATTTTGCAGGTGGGAGACACACTAGGAGACACAAAGCCTAGAAGAAAATTAACCCTGCTTTGACCACAGTTTTGCTTCTTCCCCTGTTGCTCTCCTCATTTCATTGGATCTATTTTAACCACCAGCACTGCACTGTAACACCAACCTTGGTGCTTTGGCCGACATCCAGCTGTGAAATGTGTGCTCTTCTTCTGCATGATTCCCTCTGCAGGTGTCAGGAAAGCTGTTCCCTGTGCTCCCGAGTCAAAAAATGCAACTGTCTGTCTGTCAAACCCTGGCAGAGGGGATGTTTGTAGGGGCAGAGCGTTCTTCCCAAAGAGGAATAGAAAAGGCAGGGAGAGAGGTGACATTTTTGAAGGTTGTCTTTTCTGTAGACTTTCTATATAGTGAATGGAGAGAAAAAGGGAAAAGTAAAGAGACTTCTTCAGAAGGCATTCAGAACACCAGACCAAGTTCCTGCTTTGAGTCCTCCCTTAAAATCCCTTTCTCTATGGAGACTAGGCTGGGCTGTGCTTAATAAGACTAACCAGAGCAACCTAGACCAAAGACTTCTATAGCTCTATACCCCCTCCTGTCGTGCAGAAGCTGCCTTTTGGTGTGTGTTGCCATGCCTGCTGCTTCTTGCTCACACCACCCTACAAATGATGTTAAAGGTGTGATGGAAAAATAGCCTCTGATGGACAGACCTAGAAGCCATAGAGTTTGCTTTTCTGTAAGCCATTGATACTTAGAGAGACATTTCCAGCAAGTGCACTGTAGTTGAGTGCAGCAGCTCCTCCAAAGTTGACAGCAGGCAGCCCACCATGCCCCTTACAATTCTGCCTGACAAGCCAGAAATGGGGCAAATAGGGAGGGGAAAGGACCTGTGTAATGAATTAGAGGTGCTAGTGCAATTGGAGGAAGCTACAGTAGTCACAAACCTTCAGCATGTGTGAAAGCATCACTTTGTTCTTTTTTTAATTTTATTTTTATTTTTACAGCAAACATATTTAATATAGCCATTTCAAGTTTTACACGAAGCATAAATCAAGGAGAAATAAGTATATTGGCCACAACATTGGTTGTTTTGTAGCTTCTAAATTTCTGAAGTGTTAGGTCATTTTACTTACAAGTTAAATAGCTGTCTGCAAGAGGCCTTGGTTGGTCATAAATTGTCCTTCCAATAATATAAAACACACCATTTATTTACAACACGTATGCTCTTCCAAGTAGATCCAACAGCTCGTAAAGAACAAGAGCTCCTATGTCATCCCTACTGAGACCACTGCAATAAAGAGCCATTGGAATGACTCTGTACTCAGTAAGTACAATCAGATCCAGCAACAGTAGCTTTTATGGGCTTTTTCTCCCCTCCAGGAAAGCCTGAGATATTAGTGCAATATTAAAGAGCTGTGATGGTTTTACCCGGAGTGGGATCTCACTCCTTTTATGCTCTCAGTGGTTTTGGGGGTGGAGTGAGGTAACATTCAACAAAGAGGATCAGAATCAGCCCTGTTAGGACAGTTCATTTTCATAAGGGATATGATTGATTAAAAAGAAGGTTAATTGAATATTATGAAGCTGCCACAGTAGTATAAACTCCAAGCTCTGGCTTATAAACAACATTTGTTGCAGAAGGGTTATTACCTGCTCAGAATTGGAGCAATGAGCCTTTCGATCCCTGTCTGTTCCAGGATGGCTGAGCAGTAAAAAAAGCACATGCTGGTACACGACCTCAGGTGGGCTCCAAGGAAGTGTTAGCCCAGTTTAAGTAATAAATATGTTCTACACAGGCAGAGGCATGCCCTGATCGAACTCTAAAGTGAAATACCAGCTAAAAGCAGCATTTGATCTAGATTAGAAACCCACTTTAAGTGTTTGAAGTAGAAAAGCAGTAGCAGCTGATCTGAGTCTCCAAAGCCTTTTGTCAATAGAAAAGCTCTGAACAATTTCCTTTTAATAATATTACTGCATTTTTTTAAAATGTGATTTCTGTAGTTCTTGGACAGTACAGAGGGGTGTGATATTTATCCAATGGATTTGCGGACTAACAGGATCATTAACACATTAATCAACATCTTGTTCACTGGCTCAACCTCAGTCTGTTCTGAGAGTGACTAGATTGGTGCAAAAGAATCATAGGAGCATAGGATTCATCTCACTCTGCTGGGGAAGGTATCTAATCTAAGCTGCTTGCATGGTGTTGCCCTGTAATCAACGAGGAGAGCGATAGAGGCCTTCCAGAAGAAAATCAACCCCATCCTATACATCTAAAACAGAAAGATTAATTTTGTTCTGGGATATATCAATCTCTTGCTGTAGACTATGAGGGAACCCAATAACAGGGGGAGGATTTGTCCCAAACTTACCTGATTCTACCAGTCAACTCAGCAGGGATCCTGCATGGAGGAAAATGAGGCCACCCCCTTCAGTTGCTTCTGCATAAAACTGCTGGTTCATTTGCACCAGGTGTCATGACTAGCTCACTAGCCAGCTGCTTTGCTCAATAGCTTACTTCAATCATCTCATCAGTGTGCTCATAAAGATCACCTGTGAACAGCTTCCCCACCCTCCCTTAAAGCTCTAGCCCTGCCCACACCAACTCACCTCTATGAAACCGAGTTGAAAATCAGTCTCTTGACTGGCTGAGCTAACTCTTGTTGCAGTCAAATGAGATCTTTCTCACCAATGGGCTGGACCACCTTCTGACTGGATCATGACCGATGTCTGTTTCTCACCATATCATTACTTCCCATCACATACGTCGTGGAGAGATTAATTTCTCCTTTCTTCAAACTCAATATTCAACTAATTGTTGTCATGGCCCATAACATGATCTGTCTCCTTTTGGACACTGACAAAGATGGTTAAAAAACCATTTTGCCATGAATCTTCTGGTTGCCAAATTTCTCCGGCCCATGCTTTGAGCCCTTCTCCTGTGCTGTGCCTGCTGCACTGTCATCCTCCTTCAAATCACCTCTGCCAAGAGGCCAATGAAAGCCACCTGGGCAGCATGGTGGTGGTTGCAGCAGCACCCCGGCTTCACTGTCTCTCTTTCTGCCACCTTCATCCCACTGTTGATTGGGAGTTCTTCAAGGCAAGGCAGTGACTTTCACAGGCACATCTAGCTCCTCCGCAGGTGTCCCTAAGCACTGCCAGAGTCCGATCGACTGTGTTGATGTGACAATGACAAACCAAGACCAACCACCATTACCAATAAAAGGCATTAACAGGCAAAAGGAATTATGAAATAAATTACTTTTTAATGTACAAAAGGTTTATATACAGGTTCAGCATGTTACCTCCGTTCTTATGATGTAGAAAACAGCTAAAAATGTTCTTAAGATATAAATTTGACAGAACAATTCACCTACAGTACTTTTAGTAATGATGTCTTCTATACATAATATATACAGTGCTGGAATGGTTATTATAATACTTTTTCAGTAAATGAAGGAAGACCACCACTGGAAAGTCTGAGAAATCTCAAGTCATTGGAGATTTGGTTTTGCTTTTGTATTTGATCTTTTGCTAACGAGATATCTGTGAAGAGGGACTCAGTAGCCATTGTTGCCCTATGCAGCTGTTGAAAAAAACAGGTTAGCAGTTGAAGGACACACAAAAGCCTGATCCATCTCTGCACAAGGGATGCCCAGTTGTACTCCAAGCATCCAAGGACAACATACAATGTCCTAAAATATGTACTGCCCTCTTTTCGTAAATGCAAAGGCAAGGGCAAGGTCAGTAACTGCAGGAGAATATATACAGCGGACTATAAAACAATCCCTTTCAACACAACTTTCACAGGAGACACAAATAAACAGCCAGGCACCTTGCTTTGCTTTCCTGTCCTCATGCACCCTGGACATCAGCAGGAGCCATGGGGGCCTCAAGGGGTGAAGAGTGTCCTGTGCACACCCTCTGCATTTGGGATGAGGACGGGTGAGACCACAGGATGCTGAGCAGCTCCTGCCTGCACCGGCCGTACCCAGGGCTACCTGGCAGCAGGACTGTCCCAACCCACCACGGCCAAGCACGGCTGCTGGTGTATCTGAGATCACAAAGTTTGCCTGAAGGTAACATGTGGCATTTTCATGCTAGTTTCAGTCATGCTGGGAACAGAGAGCCTGACATCTGTTTGTGCAAAAGGAAGGCAGGGATACCAGAAAGCTCCTTATAGAGCCACCCGTATCCCATGCAGGGGTCGGAGTTGGACACAGATGAGAACATCACATCGATATGAGGGGCAGAGGGCAGATGGGAAGGAGAGAGTGAAGCTCTGCAGATGCTTGTCCGGTCAAACTATGAGAACTTGGGGGGAAGTCACATTTGTCCCTTGCTGTTCGACATACTGGGTACAAAGTATATGGTGCTATGGGAACAGGATGAGGAGAGCTGTCCTTATCCAACGCAATCAGAAATTAAGCAAGGCCTCCTGCCCAAGTGCATGCACCCCACCACTTTTATCCTTTTGTCTAACGACAGTAAAAATAAATAATGCAACAAAGATTGACTTAAGTGCCAGGTGGGACTGGTGTGGAAACAGCCAATTTTTATTATAAGCAGTGATATTTTAGTGGAGGATTTGGCTTCGGGAGGCCCTGCTCCTCCCATCTCTTCCCAAGGATGTTTCCAAGAGATTCTCACTGACTGAGCTACTATTTTGACTCAAATACCTGCTTTGAGACTATCCAGTTATTTGCCTATGCTGTAGGCTGCAGGTGCAGCACTGAATTGCACAAGGCTGGGTACAAAGAGTAGCACAAAGCACCAGCCAAGCTGACGCCCTGGGTTGTCCCTGGTATGTTTTTTGGATACAGCAGCTCTTTTCATGCTGGCCAAAGCTGTGGGACATGTTAATGCAGTGCTGGGTACATGCCAACAAGCCTGCTGGCAGGGTGTATTAGCTCACGCTTATGACACAGATGAACCCTGGACAGACAAACCAGCTCCCACAATGCTGCCACAGAGCAGACTGGGCTGGAAGGTTCATAAGACCCTCTCCATCATCACCACTTTTTGAATGTGAGCACCTTAGCGTGGAAAACCCAACAGAAAGAGAAGGCGCTGCAAAGCCGCACGGGGATATGGTAATGTGAGCTTCAGAAACCTGACATGAAAGATGCTCCTGCAGAAAGTCGCTGCGCTCAGAGGGCGCAAAGTTATGCGCGTGTGTCAGTCTGCACGCCGGAGCCTTCCTGCCACGGGGGATTATTTCCCAGTGATTGCTGTTCCCAGGCCTCTGCTCCACTCTGCACATGATATAAACCACGTTGTAAACACATCTGATCAAAGTGTGCATTCACCTTTTATGTGTCTCATCAATGTGTCTTTCCAATGTTTTCTCAGAAACACCACTATGTTTTTATAAATGTACATTTTATATACGCTTCTGGCAATACACTATATTTGATTTTTAAAGGAAGAGAGGCCTTGGCTACTTAACACGAAAGCAGGGTAAGGCACTTTGCTGAGAAGCCGTTTGGAATCAACGCTCTTTGCAAGGTACAAAGGTATTTATGGTATAAAACAATACTGCTGGCAGAGGGCTTGTTTGGAGACGTAACTAAAGCCTACTCTCATCAGAGCAGAATACATAGTATGGCTTTTATTCTGATCAAAACCGCATCCTCCCATTTCTTTCTGGGGTGGGTCAAAAATGGAATTTTTTGCCAACGTACCTAACGGAAAATGATGGGGAGTGGTATTTACAGGGCTGCCGGGGAGGGAGGGTTTCATCTCTAACCACGCTCATGCAGTCTCCTAGCTTGGTGGTGATATTGTTCAGTGCTCTGGGTAACCAAGCCAAAAAATAACACTAGAAGTGCACCCACAAGGTGCTGAACTGCCTGGATATAGTTTACATAGTTCTGTACAGAAACTTTTTAAAATTTTCATTTTGAATCCCTTTAATGTATTTAATACTTATTAAAAAAAAAAAAAAGGTCTACTCTATTGAAACAGATTATTTTTGAAAAGCACATTCATCAAACTGCTTCACACACAGCCCCTTGGATAGCGCTAAGGCCTTGTGCTTTACTGTTATGACATCATGTTCAGAAATTTACTCTCTTCCGCCAGCGTGGTTAGCATGGAGCTCATGTCGCCTATCGCCATATTGCTTATTCCCGCGGGAATGGTGGGCAGTGTGAGAGAGTTTCGTGGAGTCGTCAGGCGAGAGGAATTCTGGGAGAGGTTCTGCAGGATGCTGGGGCTCAGGGTTCCCGACATCAGGCTCGAATGGTCCCCATCGTCCATGATGGCGTCAAAATCTATCTGGGGTGGCTCAAGGCCTTGCGAGTCCACCGTGCTGGACACCTGGTTGGCCCCTGGGGAGGGCAGGGCGGGCGGCTTGCCGTTCAGTGCGCACTGCTGCTGTCTCACCCGGCAGTCCGCCTGATTATCGAAGCTGCTGTTCTGTTCGTACATGTGGATTTGGCCATAATAGTACATCAAATTGTTGTCCCTCGTGCCGTCTGTGCACTGTTGGGCCGGCGCCGGCAACATGTCGCTGGTTCTTTTATGCGCGGCCTCCGCCGCCTCCTGGCCCGGGCTGATGGTGTTTGGCGGGTGGGGAGTTCTCATGTAGCCCAGCTGCTGGACGGTGCGGAGGCTTCGGGATCTGTTGGCCGGGCTCGGCTCCGGAGGAGGACGAGGCTGGACCATGCCGGATGGATACACCTGCGTGGCTGAGCCCATCATGCTCTGCTGAGGCTCAAAGCTGGGCTGGTTGGAGGTCATGACGGGCTGATGATAGGCCTCCTGAGCCATGGGGAAGTTCAGGTGGGTCGGCTGAGATGAGTAGTTCTGCTGACTTGGATCGTGCATGACCTGGCCCATCATCGTGCGCTCACTGTTGCTGCCAACCATTAAAGAAGGGTCAGTCGCCATGTCCATTTGCTGAGGGTGAAGGTGGGGTCCAGACTTTGCTGCCATGTTGCTACAAGAAGGAGAGATCTGATTGGGGTTGCCACTGATTGCACTGGGGCTCAGCATCTGATGAGGTTGGTTATACCCTGTGTGCAAGCCCAGATCAGGGTTCATACCGGGGCCTAGGCTCATCGGCTGCTGCCGCAGCTGCATACAGTTCAGCCTCTGCCCATCCATGCCCACATTTCTTTGCATAAAGCTCTGCTGTGTTACGTTCATATTGTTCTCTGGCAGCTGCATCTGCTGCTGGTTGTAGTTCTGGTACTGACCAAAGTTCTGCTTCTGCTGGACGACCGCTAAGTTCCCCTGCGAAAACTGCTGCTTCGACTGGTTGGACATCATATCAACCGTACCCGAGCTGACTTCGTTCCACTGGACGGGCATGTTATTTTTATTCATGTCTGAGGAAGCATCAAAACTCATGGGACACTCTGTCATCATGGGTCCTAACTGGCTCATGCTCGCCTCAGCCACTGCCATCCTGCGCTGGCCAGGCAAGGCTGGAGGCTGCAGCTTCCCACTTCCCTGGAAGCTCGCCATCTCATTGTTGTACCCCATGGAAGTGCTCTCGGCTGCTGTCCCATTGCTCTGGGATTTGATGTACTGCACCACATCATCTGGCAGCATAATGTCATCATCTCCAACGGGCACCTCTGCCTCCCCGGACATGGCTTCCATGGCAATGTTTTCGCTGATGCTCAGTGGCCGAGGTGAATAGGTGTGCCGGGGGAGGCTCCCGTCTGAGCGACCATAGCTCTGGAGGCTGAAGTTCCTCCTGTCCTGTGGAGGATGGAAGGGGTTCATGCTGTTGGTGCTGTTGAAGCGGTGAACTCGTGGGAGGGCCTGGGGCTCTCCAGCAGGTCTCCTCACCGGGTCACTCGCCCGCCTGGTGCAGTTGCCCGGCACCTCGTGGGGAAATGCTGCAGCTGACGGGTAGCCATAGGTGTTACCATCACTGCAACGCCTGGGACCTGGTGGGAGGCGGATGGAGGGCAAGGTGGGGTCTGGTCCATCCATAAGTGAGATCCTGTTCTTCAAGGTCATCCTCTCCATGTTCGGCAGGGGAGTCGGAGGAGGGCCCCCTGTGGCAGCAGCATACTTGGCTTTCAGCCTGTAGTGCTGAGCTGGCGTGAGGTTCAGCAGACCCGGCATCCCACTGCACTGGCTTGCCTCGCTTGACCGACGGGACGCATCCGTCGAAATTGGGTCATAGGAGTCAGCAGAGCTCGTGTTGTTGGGACGGTGCCCGAGCTGAGAAGCCTCGCTGGAACGGCGGCTGGAGAAGTATGGGGAGATCCCTGATGATCTGCGGCTGACGGTGTAGGCGGAGCTGATAGTGCTTGTCGTACTGTCACGGCGCTCGTTGAGTTGGTTCAGCATCGTAACCTCATTGACAGACAGCTCCATTATCCTGGGATTAGGCAGCGTAGCAGAAGAACCACCACTATTTTCTAGAATAGAGCCTAAGAAAAAGGTTGCAGAAGAGGAAAAGGTTTGGTTAGCAGAGAAATTTCACTTGGCAGTGTTCTTGGTGCCAGAATACAGACGCACAGAGCCACCCCCAAATACTTTACAGGAAAAATAATGAATTTGCTGCCAGTGAATTTGAAGCTTCATCTCCAGCTCTGTGTCCACGCACAAAGAGCAAGAAGGACGAAGAGAGAAGACAAGAAGTCTCTGCTGCAGCATTCTTTGCAATGTGTACCCCACTGACGCTCAGCTGCTGAGGAAGTGCTTCCATGTTGGAAAAAAGTAGGACTGGTGTGAACAGTGCCATGGGGACAGCACGTAGCTACAACCACAGCTGCTCCCTGGGACAGATGCACATCACTCAGGGATAGGAGGCTGAGCGCCCAAAAGTTGATACTCAAAGGCTCTTCCCAGAGTAAACCAAGCAGCTCTAATATACTAAACCCTAAGGTATAGTACAACCCAGGCCCTTTGCCTTGGGACTTCCTGGGAAAGTTAGAGAAGATCTGAAGGGATTATAATGAGGCCTTTATGAGGAATCCCTAACCAGCAGAAAACTAGCATATGAAGCTGTAGGCAATAGCCAGGAGCTCTCAAAGTGACAAAAGGCCTGTCAGAGCAATATCAAGGATGAAGAGCTTGTCTATATTGCTGCTGCACTCCAGCAATCTCCCTGGTGGCACATCAGCCCTTGAGGAATTGTTATGGCTGGAACAAACCCAAGCAGTCTTGCGGCTGCCACCGGGACAGTGAAGACAGCTATGGCTAGCTCCTGGGGCAAACCCAGGAACAAGAAGGACACCATCGTTTCTGTGTCCTTTCTAGCTCTGTAGCACTGTTACAGCATCTGGGTTACTGCTGCACATCACCAGATGGCTGTGTTTACACCCAGGCCTTCCATTTTACCTGACATCTCTATTCAGCAAGGGCTGACTCAGAGACAATAAGAAATGATCCTCCTCCAGGGCAGACTCTTGGTTATGAAACCAGAGTCAAACTCTGTGAGGTTTCCTACAGGCCTAGAGCTTACCGTTTCCTGAGATGGGAGGCAGCTTGGTGTTTCTGGCTTGTGGAGCTGGGTTCACCCATGAGCAGGAATCCTTAACTGTCTTGAGTTTCTCTTTCTTGAGCTGTTCAAGTCGTTGCATCGTCGTCATGTGTTTCCTTAGCTGCAGGCTGACTGTCGAATTACCAGATGAGACTGTTGAGTCCACAACAGGAGCGTTGTCATCCAACGCCGTCAGATCTCCCAGACTTCCGCCGCTGTGCATGTTCATTTCTACTCCACTGTCATTGTTGTTGGTGCTGCCAAGGGGTGACGGCTCACTGCTGCATGACGACTGGCCACCAGGACTGGACTGACACATCTTGGAGAAGGAAAAGAGGAGGAGTTGGGCAGGTGGAAACATGGGTGGAAAGAAAGGAGGAACCCAACATCCCCAGTGGGCACCACATATTTGGCCCTATCCCAGGCTCTCCCCTCTTGTTACCCTTCCCTGCTGCAAGATCTCAGCTCTAAAGAGGGCAGGGGTACCTTACTTAGAAGGGGAGGGCAGGGCAGCATCACACAGCTGGAAAAACTGTGGAACGTTCAACTGGAAGATGGAGAGAAACTAGATGCTGTTCCTCCAAAAAATTAGAGATGGATGTTTCTTGAAGAAAAGCAGCACATTACCTGATTTTGCAAGGTATATTGCAGCAAGCACTGGTTTATCTAACATAGGATCAAGGCCTAAGTATTTCAGACACAACATATTTCTGTCTTTAAAATACCCTAACATATAATTAGGTTAGCTGACAAACTTCCCAGCCAGATAAAAACCTGGTTCACTGTTTGCAACCCCCCACTTGCAGATAAGGCAGATAAGCACCATAAATATTTATTTTATTTACATTAGGAATTGCATTTCACATTGAGTAGTTTGCTTGCAGCAGACACTGAATGGTCTGAACATGCTTTGAGGTAGCTGTTGCTGCTACCAGACAGGATGCCTGGTTTCTCTGCTCCAGGCCCATGCTCCAGCAACTGTCAGAAATGGGAGTGCTGAAAAGGCAATGTATTTTGCCTCAGGCCAAGGTGGGAGTGCAGGGTGGTGCAGTGTTCTACTTTGCTCCTTAGCAGCCCTCATGGGCAGGGCTAACTGGCTCTGGTGGCCTCACTGCCCTTCAATCTGGATGATGGAGGTTGCAGTCCCAGGATTTAATGGCGAGTTTTGATGTTGGAAGAAAGGAGGCAAAGGGAGTCCTCAGGCACTGAGTCCTCTCCCCTTCTGCACTCAAGCAAATATCCCCTGTCCCTCCCCATTGCTCCGCAGGCCTCCCTGTCCACCCCACAGGGGTTAGCTGGAGACAGGAGGTCTCAAAGACACCATGCTTTATACAGCTATTTTAATATAAAGGATTTCTTTGCTCACCTTAGTACCGACTGTCCTTAGGAAGGTAGAGTAAGGAAGGGTAAGTGGGAATAAAGAACAGGTTGTTAGGACAAAGATAGCATTAACAGAAAGGACCATGTTAGTAAAAGGAGGAAGAGGGGAGTGCAGAACACAACACAAATCACCAACAACTTCCCCTCTCCTGCACCCCCTCTTCCCTGCCTTCCCTCTTTGTGGCCCCAGATAAAAACCCCACCCCTCTCCATGGGTTTTGGATGAGACTCAAAGATGGGTCAAAACAAGGGACCTGGGAGTGATGGGAACCAGTGAAGTATCTCATCCTTCCCACCACTCTGACCTCAACCAGGAAACAGGAGTTGGACATGGGCCTGCCAGGTCAGATGCCGCCCGTTAGACGTGCACAAGTTATGTACACGGCGCTGGACAAGGAGAGCAGAGAGGAACATCTGACCCATGGCCCTGCCGCCAGCCAGCCAGCTTGGCTGCAACCCTGGGAGTGCACAGCCCTAGGAAAACAACCCCACACCTTCAGGAGAAATGGGATGGAGAGCAGTGATTGTGTCCGTGTTTTCACAGAAAAAAACCCAAAACACACAGAGGAAGAGTACTGGAGAGAGGTCATTTTGTCCAGTGGTTCTCACACTCAGTTTTTGTAACCCGATACAGAGCCTCATCACAGTAAAAATGTTCCTTTAGTCAATTATAGATACTTCGGATGTGAAAATTCTCAATTCCTTCCTACCTAACGCATCCCTTAATGTTTTTTAGAAAATCTTTATAGCTCCAGGGCATATTGTTTCACAGAAACAACAACCTTTTTAGCCTGGATTCAAATCAAGAAAAATACATATTTTGGAGCTCACAGTGCTTCAGCTCTAGTGAGAAGTCTGGGGACTATGTGAACACTCTCCTTTGCAGGTGAAGGTCTTTTCTGCTGTACCTAGGCATACCCTGCCCGACTCTGAAGCAGAGCAGCAGACCAGAACTTTGGCTATGAAGGTAAAGAGATACATCAGATGGCAAAAGTGACTCATGTGTCGTGATGCTCCACCTCCTCCAGCAGCAATGGTGTGCTTAGGAGCAGATGGGCTCCCTGCATGGGGCGGAAGAGGCTTGAATGTGTTTGGACCCATTGCTGTACACACCTCGTTAGCACCATCGACCACACTTCTGCCTACTGTGGAGCTGATGTAATGGCCAGAAGGCTGATAAATGGTCTTTGCTTCAACTGGTGGCTTGTTACATGGGGTTGTAAAACATGATCCTGGTTGACTGCAAGCCTGTAGTCTGTGGATGACAGCCTCACTCCCATGTTAATTCCTGGTTTCACATCCCTGTTCCACCATCCCACTACAATTTTCTGTGGCAGCTGGGAGTTTTGTATTGAACTCGTGTACTCTTGAGCAATCTGGTCTAGCTGACCATGCTTGAGCAGTGAGGTTGGGCTAGATGATCTCAAGAGGTCCCTGCCAGCCCCAGTGATTCTGTGCTTCTGTGTATGATGGACAAGACCGAGGAACTGAACTTGCTTTAAGGAACCCAACAAAAATAAACCAGCTACTTTTATCATCACTGGCTTCATCAGGCAGCCCACAACAAAGTTGTGCCGGCAAAACTGCTGTGCAGCAGCAGCCTGGAAGGAAAAACAGGGAAGGGTGCAGGGAAGAAGAGGAGAAAAAAGACTGTTTAAGACAGGATTTCTGCTCCAAGAAGTGTTCGTCAATCTGTGTCCTATGGTTGTTGCTCAATTTAAAATTGTGAGGTAGGTCAAGCTCATCTGACCACAACACTCTTGAGTTTTACCCACTTTCACAGCACAGGGAGGCCAAGCTCAACACCGGGCACCACCAGGCCCCCATGACTACAAGAATTTGTGATGGTGGGTAGGAAGGTGCAAAATGCTCTGGGCTGTGCCCTGACCTCCAGTTTCATCTCTGGACTTGAACTCTTAGGGTGTTGGCAGGTGAAGGGCAACTGCTTGGAGAGGTTAAATAGCATGCAAATGCTTCATGCCCCCATTGCTTCAGAGAAATTAGGGACCGCGTATTTTCTGCCAAGAGCAACTGCTCTTACCACAGAATTCTCCGTTTTTATCGTTTTGACTTGTAAGCAATCCTCCATGCTCCTCGTGGTGCTGTTGGCCTCGGGGCTCTCCTCTGAAACCTTGCTGCTCTGCTTGGCGCTTGCCTCATTGTCCCCATTTTCCTTGAGCGGAGGTGGCCTCGGGTGAACATCATTGCGCTGCTTCTTCGTGACGTGGGCATCAGGCCCGTGCACGGTCTTGACGTGTTTCCTGAGGGAGCTAGGGTCCGTGTACCGCTTCGTGCAGCCAGGGATTTTACAGACGTAGGGTTTCTGTCAATATAAGCAAATCTTAGGTTATATTTAGAACAAGTCCAGATATTCCAGGTACAGTGTATGGACCAAGAAAATACAATGAGCAAAGTGGCTGGCAGCAGCAAAATGTGGAGCATCTGCTCCGCAGGATTCTGTAAGACTGAGATCTCTAAGATGTGATATATGGGCTGCTGCTGATCCAGACAGACCTGGCCAGTCATTTGATGTTGGCTAAACTCCTTGTTTTCAGTTTCTGGATTAAGAGACAGCTAAGAATTCATGAAATACTTTCCTAATATTACTTTCCCATGTATGTATTTGCTTGGGTGGCCACAGGAATGTTTCCTGATTATGGATGGGAGGGAGGTGATGTAGGGGACTGGCCATAACACATTCTCTCTGCTAAGGTGGGGTCTACACCGAGAAAATGTCTGAGACCTTCTGGCTGACGGAATTCCAGTGGAACCAAGCCAGGCTGGATTCACCCTACCCAATCTATCATACCACTCCAGCACCTGTCACCTTGAAATCTGTTATTGTGCAAAACAAACCACAGGCATGCAATGTTTTTTTCAGACGATAGCACTCTAGTCCCGAATTCATGAATCATTGATTGCCACAGGAAAACAAGGCTGAAGCCATGCTTCTGAAAACAGAAGTCAGCAAACAGATACTTTTCGTCTTTTAACTTTTTTTTTTTTATTGAGTTTCCAATTCCAAAGTGTATTAGCGCTGCAGTTGTTTGAGCTGGTGCTGCTGCGCTGGAAGCTCTGAATTCATCACAAGTTCCGCTTTCAGCCTCACAGCTACTCTAAGTATTTTTCTGCCAACGCACTAGGACAGATCCATGAGAAGAAACAGATAGAGGTTGTTTGAAGGCTACCCAAAATGACCATTCCTATTCTTCTTTTTTAATCTGTTTTGTAATTTCATCCAGAAGCTTAAGTGAAAAAATACAGGGGAGTATATATATTCTTTGGAGAAAGCCAGTATCATCACATGAAAAACACTGAAAGTCTGTTTTTTATTCAAAAGAATGCTTCCTGACTGATCTTGGCACATCACTTGAACAAACTAAATCCTCGTAACACCCCACTGAGGTAAATATTTAATACATTTTAAAGCTGGGTAAACCAAAGCACAAAAAGTAAAATAGTTTATTTATAAACCTCATGCAACCTTTTGGATGAGGCGTTATAGAAATATTATTGCTGCTATTAAGACCTATTCTAAAGAACAGAACACATGCTAAAAACCCCTACATAAACCAGTTAAAGGAGTTTTTATAAAGATTCTTTAGGCCCAATAGTTCTGATTTTTCAGACACCAGTAATTAGGGTAATAAGATCACTGTTACTTAGGCAGCAGACACTCCACCTAATGGGGTATGGCCATCCTCTTCATCAGGCCATATCTCCTGCATCTGAACTGAGCAAAACTGCTGTTCTGTTGGCATGTCTTCATGTATCCCTTGGGTTATCCAGATTCTGACATCTAACGCAGTGTAGGCCCTAGTGAAGTCAACAATTTAGATATCTCAGGTGCCTCCCTCCTACTCCCATAAACATACAGCATGATACTCCCTAGAGTGGGAGAGCTGGAGAACTCCCCAGGCACTCAGCAGAACTGAATTTCTGCATTTTTCCCTTGTTTAGCTTGAATTGGAGAAAATGTCACTCTGAGCCTTTGGTTGGCTCACGCCACACGTGTGTATGCACTGGAGAGTGGTCACAGGATGAATGCCCTTTTCCCAGGAGTAACTTTGAAGGTATGCCTCAAAGGCATTCAAATAGTCACTGAAAGTTTAAAATGAAGTAGTGTATTTCAACAATCAAACAACCACCAGTGTAGTAATATATTCCCAGTCTTGAACTTCAGCATGTTTGGACCATACACCTACATCCTGTCACACAACGATGGAGACAAATACAGGGAATCTGGAACTTCCCCCTTAGAGGAGACATGAATGACTAATTCTGAAACTGTGGTCTACCCCACATAAACACTGCAAGCAGAGGAAAATATTTAGTAGGTATCTAGGAACCACAATAGAGTTACCAATGGGTAATGGGAAATATTCGTGGCCACAAACTCCTGCTTTGCATCTATGTGGTTTTGAGAGCCAAGGTCTCAATGCAGTTTGCTAACCCATTGGTCATGGCCTCAACTAGTTGCAGGACCCTCATCTGGGTCTTCTGCCCAATGCAATGAGCTTTGCCATGAGGAATGTCATCTGTTGCAAAGGATCATGTTATATGTTTCTCAAAAAGAGAGTGTCAAATATATGGCCCAGAGCGCCATTATATGTAGCCTACAGATGTCCAATAAGTCTTGGTGCATGCCTGTGTTGCATCAAGGAGGGTTGAACAGCAATTTGGGAGTGAGCATGATCACAAAATGTAAGATCATGCAGTGCCATGTAATTCCCTTGGTAAGGCTCAGCTGGTCTGGTACAAATCCTCCACTACTGGCTACGCTATTTCTGCACCTGAGAAGGCTTTAGCATCCTCCAGGCGAAGTAACAGCAGAGGATATCTGTTATCCAAGTCTTTAATTTGTGTTGTTGGATGCAGCCTGTGCCAAGCATCAGGATATTAGATCAGAGTCCACCATAGACAAGGAGTTGGAGGCTCCTGCCCTACAGCCTCACCTTCTTGCACAATGGGAACCCAAAGAAGCAGACCTTCAAGTGTGTCCAAGCTCTGCTCAGACGAAGTAAGGAGTCATCCCAGATCCAGTGCAGCTCCTGATCTGGATCACTTGGGAAACTGAACCCATCAAAGAAATGACATTTAATAAGACAGCCAAAGCCAAAATTCCACATGTAAGAACACGGGACACCAGCTGGCCCAACAGAAGGGAAACTCTGGCCTGCCTAAGAGGGATCCTGGAAAAGGTCTAGGCATACGAGCTCAAATGATCTATGGGCAAAAAGTAGCTCACATACTGCTTCAGTGTGCACAAACTGGGCAGATCGAGTCTGTACCCAGCACTGAAAGTTGTACCAGCAGTCTTGATCCATCCACATGAGAATCCTTAGGGATGGAAGAGAGATGCAAACTTGATTTAAGGACAGGAAAAAATACCGAAGTAATGGGAATCTTCAGTGGCTTGGGTGACTTGAGAAAGAACATGGGGACTGTTATTTATTTTTTTGTCAGAGTTAGGATGATGGTTGGACTAGATGATCTTTAAGGTCCCTTCCAACCTAGACGATTCTATGATTCTATGAGTGAGGTGTTAATAGCAACAACAAAAGGGACATTGGATCCAGCACTGGAGGAAGGCAGAAAAAACACCCAGGGCTGGAAAACAAGTAGCTTCTAATACCTGAAATGTGAGATTAAATCAGGACTGCCTACTTTTCTGGGGAAGAAGCTTTAACAGAGAGCAAATGATGTTTTAGTCAAACGCCAGTTACTGGGAATGCAGGTTGCCTTGGCCCCAAGGTCAGTGTAGCCTTAAATCAAGCTCAAACTACTGAGTCCCAGTGTGGATATGGGTTAATTTTAACCTGTGTCCTGCTGGAGAAGTGGCTCACTGGTGAAGGACAATGCTAATATTTGGGTTCATACCCAAACCAATTCAAATAACTCTGGGATCCAGGTCATTCATTGGGTCCATCTCAGCATCACACAGCATGAAAGGGTATCCTAGACTTTGAGTCCTTATTCTGACTCCAACAGAGTCTCTGAAACCTACAGAGCTTTGGTTATCACTGACTGATATTATGCCAGAGAGAGAAATACTCCGAACAAGCCCTTTGTAGACACAGCATCATTTCAAAAAGCTGTCATCTGTGGCAATTGCGTTCCATTCTCCAATAGTCTATATTTAACTGTTGCAAATTAGGCTGCAGACTGAATTCTTCATGGCTGCAAACACTATTAGAACTTTGGAGTGTTGTTTTTAGTTCCCCTGTCAGCTAATTAGTGGTAATATAAATTTCAATCGTCGGCCGTGGTTGATTGCAACAGACCATCACATGCGTTACAATAAAGGCAATTTCCTCTGCTCCCCAACTACTAATAGTGGATCTTAATTAGCCAAGGTTAACAAAGCATTGCATTGTGCTCTATCATTGTACATCAAACGATGGAGGGAGTGTTATTTCCAGAGCGTCAGGATCCAGGGTAGCTGTTATACTACTGCAAGTCTGCTCCACAGTAACATTAAATACCACATGCACAACTGTACAATCCTATTTGCGCTATTAAAAATTATAAATTTGGAAAATGCTTGCTTTAATTTCCAAAGCTGATTAAAAAGTTTGCATACTTTAACATCTGTTTATGATTTCAAACATGACTTTCATAAATATAAAGCTAATGTGGTCTGGCTCTCCAGCAAAATAAATCCCATTAAAAAATAAGAAAAACCTCTCATTACACTAGGTTTCTTTTTACATGAGTCCAGCGTGTAAAGTGTATGTTTATTGTCAGCAAAATTAAAAAAAAAAAATTCCTCCATTGAGCTGTGGTGAGCCCAGGCTTACCTCATTGGAATGTGTCCTGTTCTGGTGCTTGGCTCTGTCCGAGGCATTGGAAAAGGCTTTATTGCAGCCTTCGTGTTCACAGACATAGGGTTTTTCTCCAGTATGGGACCTCAGGTGTGTCTTTAAGTTCTCCAGGCGGGAATAGGCTTTGGAGCAACCCTCAAACTAAAATAAAAAAACACAAGAGGAGTGATTAATTAACCAGAAAAATTTGATTTTCCCCTGCCTAAACCCTTCTCATCTGTTTCTCATTCTTCCTTTTTTTCTTGCCTTTAAAGGGCTTGTGTTTTAGGGAACAACATCTACTTTGTTGGGAGAATTCACTTCCCTAGGCAGGCTGAGAGTTTCAGCAGTGACTCATATTTAAGGTGCTGCTCCTTGTCGGGTACCCACCTGACATTTCAACAAGAGACTCTTTTTTCCAGCAGGGCTGAACACCTCTCCACTCCTCCCAGGGCTCTCTTAGCCCCTCCTGCCATCCCTCTGCAAGTAACACACTCCGAAACAGAGGCCCTCTCCTTCCCACCCAGAGAACTGACAGCTTCTTGACAGTTTGACCAGCCCAGCAACTTCACTAGCACCAGCGCTGGAAAGGCCAGACCATTCTCTACACACAAGCAAAAAGCTAGCAAGCTTTGAAGTTTCCCAAATTACAGCTTGGGTCTACTCTCGGAGGATGCTGTGGTCAGGCCGTCTGACATTAACAGTTTAAAAAACAAGACTCTCAGTCTTGAAGACAGATGGATTTTTGGATGACAAAACAGGCCAGGAACCTTCCTCCTGGGAGGAAACCAGCTGCCCACACAACGAGAAGGAGCAGCTTGGGAGACATGGTGAGGCTTCGGGTGATGTAAGTCCTGCCGCCCTCCACTCTGGCTGGGCCGGAGACTTCTCCCTGCACCTGCCCCGTCAGTGGCATGGGAGGATTTCACCTCAAATGAAGGAGGCTGTCTTAAATGTTCTTTGAAAAAACAAATACAAACACTGGAATAGGTTTTAAGGAATGCAAGACTCCCTTCCAAATTCTAGCTAAATGCTGCACTGCTGTTCTGATGGGAGTATTGTAAAGCCCATGCTGCACTTCCTATGCAAACATCTTAAAACAGACTTTAAATTTCAATAAGCAGCCTCTTCCGTTGTAATGTATGCAAGCTGCAAGGTGTTGTATTTTAGTCAGATCACTTAAACGTCTCTACAGCTTCAGTCCAGATGTGACAGGACTTAACATCGCTGTGTTTGAGTCTTGGCCAGTGAAGAAACGGGTGTCGCAGCAGGACAGGTCGTGCCACAGCTCTGTGTCTGATTTCCCTGTGGGCAGCGGAGCGGTTCCATGTGCCCAGAGATGTCTGCCCTTTTGGGCAGAAGCCCAAGCCTGCTGTGTGCAATAGCAACATTACCCGTCTCCTTGTGCTCCACGGGCACAGGACTCGCCTGCACTGCTAAAGGTCTGCCATAGGGATGGTGGATATAAGGCAAACTTGCCCTGCTTTCTTGAGATATCCACATTTTTCAAAGACAATAGAAGCATCTCGAAAGAGCTGATTCCTTCCACAGCTTTGTCAGGGTGAGATGGATCCAGTTCCCCTTCCTCAGACAACTTTCATTAGCCCATTTGGCCCATAGAACATGCTGCAACTTTGAGGTAACACAGCGTATTCCTTTCTTCTCTTGCCCTGTGCAAACAGTCCATTACAACTCAAGTCACTTATGGTTATTGAAAGACATCATTCCATTTGCTGGAAAACAAAGGGAACTCAGCACGAGGCAACTCATGTGTCCATTCTGGTTTTGCTGGATACTGACACAAAAATGCAGTTATTAAGACCAAAAGTACTGAGGCCACATTTTCAAATAAGAGCTTCTCAGCAAAGCAGCCTGTGCATGTTCAAAGCATTTGTTCCCACTCTTACGCGTGGATTTGATTATGTCAGTGGGAGTTCTGGCTGTCATCTGTTGAAATAATCCTTGACCGAATCCCAGGCTGCAATTGGGCTCATCTGTAGCTTTATGTACACCACAAACTTCTTGTCTGAAACAAATGGCGCTTTGAAAAATCACTGCCAGATTTGGACATGGAATGCTCTGCCACAGAAAGGCACCCAGAGCTGCCATGTATCCCAGGCAATTGGAAACTGGTGGTACTTCAGTTCGGAGAGAGTTGCTGTGACAAATCACACATGGGGGGACTGCAGTTCTCCAGCAGGCAGAGGAGGACTTGAGACTCGAACACACACAGACTTTCCTCTGCTCCAGTGCAACACAACCGAGGCTTGAAAGAGGAAGGATTGTGCAGGGGTGCTTTTTCCTGCTCCATTACAGCACTGAAGAGGATGCAGTCCCTGCTGCTTTTTTGTCTTTTAAGTCCCTCTACCTGCATGGGCAGGGCTAGACTTTCCCTCACTGCTCACTTTGTAGCACACTGACGATCAATATTCCTTGATACTTTTAAGGAAGATTGGTAAAGCACTACAACTGGGCAAAGTGCTTTAGAAGATTAAAACAAAGGACATGGCCCTGTGCCCCGGGGAGCTTATGCTCTAAATTAAATGAACACAGGGCTGGAAGATTGATAAAGGAGTCATGCAGCAAGCAAATCATACATATCCTAATATTTGTAAGCAGGAGCTGGGGCAGAGCCAGAGAGGGAGCAGGGCTGGAAGTGACTAATGGGGCAGAAGAGGAGGAAGATACGGGAGGAGGGCTCAGACATCTGCTGAGCAGAAAGACTCATTCCTGAGACTCTGGGGAGAGGAATGGCATAATGCTGACAGCGGAGGAGGTATGAAAAACTAGCAGGAGAAGGCAGGGAGCAAAGGATATCAAAAGACAGGGATGGACTGTTGGGAGGAAAAAGGAATGAAGCATATGTGGAAAGAGATGGTGAACACCTAGTGGCCAGAGCCACCGAACTCCTTGTGCCTCCCATCAAGGCATCCTTCACTGCCCCATGTCAGCAAGCAGTGTGGTGGGAGACTCCATGTGTGAGAGCAGATACAGGCTTTGATATCTCAAAGCTGAGGAGGAGGTGAGCACTGCTCTCCCAATGTGTTAGATGAGCCTGCACCCACAGGGCTGAGACACAAAATAGCATCCCAAGCTCTTCCTCAGGCAATGTTTAACACTAGGCACAGTGCTCCTTGCATGCAGGAGATCTGGGGACTGAGCTCTTCTTGGGGTTTAAACACCCAAAGGTTGATCTCATCTCTGGATTAAGAGAGCAGAGGCAGGAGGTGTTTGCCCAGCTCCCCAGGCTGGAAGGAGGTTTGTGTGCACACTTGGGTATGTGGGTGAGGGAAACTTGCAGCCCCAGCAGCAGTACTGGAAGATGCTGAGTTAACCGTGACCCGCGTTAGGTGGTGCCCCACACTGTGGTGTCTTGTCCCCAGGATTCAACCTGCAAGTACCTACAACCCAGACACAAAGAGCTGGACTGGCCCTGAGCTGGGAGAGCCCTGCTTGAAGCCATGCTTGCATCTGCACACACGTCTGTGTGACCACCAAAGTCCAGTGTCCCACTTGCCAAGGTGAGATGCACCACATGTCCCTGCCAGCTCACCGTGCACTTGTGTGGCTTCTCTCCGGTGTGCCTTCGCATGTGCACCACCAACATGTACTGAGCCTTGAAGGGTTTCTGCTCCCTCGTGCAGTCCTGCCAGCGGCAGACAAACTCCTTCTTCTCCCCATGGATGTGATCATTGTTGATATGCTGGTAGGAGAGAAGGGAGAAACAGGTCAATCTTGGAAGAGCTGATGCCAGCAAAGCATACACGGTGCTCCGAAAGCCAGCCGTTCCCTCCCCACTGCTTGTGGTCAGGCATTGCACCTGGGATCCAGGTGCACAGATAACAACAGGGACACGAGAGCCAGCACTGCGGTCTGGTGTGTCCTGCAGGAGAAGGCACTGGGTCCAAAGCAGCCACAAACGGGAGGTTTGCAAAACCAATGGCGACCCATGGTGCCAGGGAGAGAGGAGCCCTCTCAGTGTCTCCCGAGCTGCCTGATGCCGCTGTTGGGGAGGATGACAGAGTCATTTTTGTCTCCGTCGAACCCTCCTGTGCCTCATTTACGCAGCTGGGACCCTTTTCTGGGGAGCTGCTGGAGGACAGAGGAGAGGAGAAGACAAGGCTGCCTGCACGCCGGCCTGTACGCCGACCCTGAGACATCCACCTGCCGTCCAGCGCTGGCGGCTGGCAGGAAATGACAGCATCTGCGAGCTATGCACCAAGGAGAGCTCGGCAGCCTCAATTACTGCTAATTACTCAGGTCCATAAAATCTTGCACCAGGGTGTTGAAAAGCCAGACCCAGAACGGTGCCTTCATCCACCCTGGGAGGAAGACAAGGGTCGCTTTTTCCCAGTCTGGGGCAGATGAAGCCCTGCCGAAAATAAACAGAGCCGGAGACCAGCCCGTCGGCAGCGCCGTTCCCGCGGCAGCCTTGTCTCTCTGAATGGGGTCTTGCTGCCAAAAATAATGCCTGTCCTCGCTCCTGTGTTTTCAGCAGACATTCACTGACAGGAAATCCTAAAATAAACCACTTTGGGTTTGGGTTTTGTTTTTTTGTGCTGAGATTTTTTTCCAACCCCCGCCTTCGTCCCCCTGGCCAAGGCCAGGCACACATGTTATGGTTCAGGATGAGACTTTTTCTTGGTGGTGAGGCAGCACGAGGACACAGAAACACATTAAAACAGTCACTGGCCTTCATGGTCACAGCCAAATCCAGCCCCGGCATTTTTCATGCCGTGGCCCAGTCCTGGAGACAGGAAACTGCTCCTTGGGGCACCAGGTCTACCCAGGGGCAAGAAGGTGTGTGGAGATCAGCTGGTCCGTTAGGCACCATGGGTAAACACCAAGAGCCAAAGCTGTGTACTGTCAGGAGGGGCTGGGTTTGGGAGAGGTTTTGTATGGCTTTGGAGCTCAGCTGCCTACAGTTCTGGTTTTATAACATAGCATCAGTGTGAGATTTTAGCCTCAGATGGTGGAAATCTAGTAAGCCTCTCAAGAGACCCGTGGATGCACTAAACCACATCCAGACCAGGCTGGGAAGATACATCTCCCGGCCCTGTTTGTGTGGGAGTCTGACTTGCAACCAAGACTACACAAGGCAGTGCTAGGAGTCAGGGAATGCACAGGCTCTCCTGCTGGGTCCTGCTTGGGCCAGAGGAAGACACAGTTACGGCAGGGGGACTGTAGGTCCCCTTCAGGCTTATAAACTCACTGTCTGGGCAACATCTGCTTCCCATCACATGAGGGAGGAGCAGTTGCACTACTCACTACACTTCAGCTATGGCTCCATAGCCCCCATCAAACCCCCACCTGGCTGGAGGCTTTGCTTGGGCGTCTCTCAAATTGTGAGTGTGACCTTCAAGGCTAAGAGCAGCAGTGGTGCTTGAAAAAATAAGTCCTCATTCCTGCTGCTCCCCGTTGACACGCACTTCTTCCACAAGCACATTGCCCACTGTGTGTGGAGAACGGACTCTGCACGCCCAGGTACTTTGTTCTGCACACAAACTAGAGCTTATCCATGCATGGTGGGATGCCTCCTTCTCAGAAGTTGGCCCACGACATCTGTATTTCATTTGCATGTGTATTTTGGGCATCCCAAATCCACAACCCCATGTTGCTAGTAATCATAGTACAGAAGCCTCCGTTTTTATAACCTTCCGAATTTAGGAAAATCTTGGACATTCTGTCAAATATTTTTCTTTGGGTTTTCTCTAGAAATAAATTGTGCTGAGCTGCCTGGGTTTGCCCTGCACTTTGCTCTGGGCAGAGTTAAAGAGTTTTTCTTACATCTGAGAGGGAAATACACAAATACTGCCCTACAAATGTGAGCCCAGCCCATCCAACAGGACTGCTGTGGTTTAACCCCAGAAAAGTAACATCCCATGGCATGCAACGTGCAGCCCATTAAACACTTTATCACTCATTTGGCCCTGAAAACCATTTCCAAATCTGTCTGTACTCAAGGACTTGCTGCACTGAACCACTGACTTCTGGCAGAGGTGGGCAGGTGGTAGCCTTAGATGGAAAAAGAACACATGCCCAAGACTATCATGGTCCCTCTGCACAAAGATAATGTTTGTGTGGAAACGCTTGGGGAAATGGAGACCAACGCCTGCTTGGTGGCATCTGAACATAACTAAAATGAAGATCTATAAAAAAGAGTGAGAACAGACATGAGACTTCAGAATGAGGGCTACAAGTGACTTACATGTGGGTGGCCCCTGGCAGGCTTGGAGCCAGGGGCACAAGGCAGCACAAAGCCGAAGGGAAGGGAGAAGATAGCTGCTCCAGTCACAAAATTTGCTCAGTCCAGCATTTTGCTGGGGCTTGTGAATTCCCAATAGCTCTGGGCTTTCTTCAGATACGTGCAGCTCAAAAGACAGACCCAAAATACGAACTGGAAGGGTGCTGGGGTGGGACTCAGACACAGACCATGTCTGATTTCACTGGGAATTGCTCTGAGTTTGAGGGATTTGTCAACCCCAAAAGCCAAAGGAAAACAAAAGGTGGATTCCCAGGTGAAGCAAAGCACACAAAAGGTTCTTGGAATTAATTAGAACTGAAAATCTGATTAATGACTTGGTTTGGGGATCCTTCAGGGAACAGTTTTGACACTGTTTCGGGGACATCACTGTGATTACGGAAGCCCTATTTCCCAATTTTAAAAAAAATCAACCCAGTTTCTCTATTTCAGGCCCTGATGGAGACACCGGAGCATGTCTCCAAACTCTGGAAGTGCTCTATTTTTGTGGGAGGGATTAGCTGAGCAGGTCAACAGCCCCTAAGTGATATGGGCCTACAGCTCATGTCACAGCAGCATAAAAGGCTTTCAAAGGCCTGGACAGGGACTGAAGACAGTATGGACCATCCCTGGCCCGTAGCTGGTGTAAGTGCATGGGGAGGCTCAGTGAACACGGCCAGGGAAGAGGGAAGAGCCCAGCCCCCTTCCCCATTTTCTGATCAGGTCCTTTGCACGGAGACTTCTCACACTGGGCCGTGCATGAGGGAGACCGAAACTGCAGCATCAGCAGCTGAGGAGAGAGCAACATCAAATAATCTATGAGATGCTTCCTGCAGCTAAACTCCTTGGGGAGCAGTGACCTGCTTTGGCAGTGTTTACACACTGTATCTCTGATTTGCACCTTTAGTAGGTCCCAGAGTGAGCTCTGGCTGTACAGCAGCTAGTGATAAAAAATGAGGACAAGTGCACAGAAACCCAAATTTATCGCTGGGGTTTCCTCCCAACCATTACTCACATGGACGAGCTGCTCTTGAGTGTCATATTCCTTTGTGCACCCTTCCCAGTGACAGTTCGTCTCATAAATAACCTCAGGCTCCTGTTTACATTCATCCTTATCTAGATCTTCTTTCAGGTCTGTCAGATGCTCCTGCAACACACAACGGCACATCGCATAAGGTGAACTTCTTTCATCTGAATTCCTCTGTCACTCATAGATTACAGGGCAGATGTCAACCGATCAGAAAAGCATACTCGTTGTGGCAACATAACATCCTTGATTACTGTGAAATAACGAGTTACAGAGTTTTGGTAGAAACGCATACGAAACACCCCAAAACCAAGGGCACAGCAGTGGCTGGCTCTAGACAGGTCATGAGCAGTCCCAGGAAAGGCTGGAGAAAGGAAAAAGGCAGGCTTTTGACCTTTGTCTGTCTTCTTCACTGGAGCAAAAGTTGTGATCTGGGGGGAGTGGGGAAATATGAGTGTGAAGAAACCACACAGCAGTCAAAGCCTAGTGGTTACCACACTCACCTGACGTGGGCTGGTATTCCTGTTTTCTGCATCTTTTGATAGATGAGAAAATTGTTATACCTAATGGTTACCCAAAGATTTTAGCCTGCAGGGTGGTCCATGGGGACAAAGGGGTGAGCCCTCAAAGCACTCCTCTGAGATCTTGAAATTTGGGAAGCTTGAGCAAGACCCAGTGATGAGTGGGCTGCAAAGCAGAGCTCCAACGCCTCTGGGCTGATAAATGAGTTACTTTAATGCTGGGCACACTGTGAGCTCTCTCCTTAACTTCTCTGTCTAGCCAGCTCCTCAGTGCTAAATGAAGCACAGAAGATTTTTTTATGGCTGCTATGAGGATTAAAGCATCAACACCCACACAATAGTGTAACATTCAACATAATTAGTACAATTCAGAGGTAAGGACAACTGTCAGCTCTGGGTGCGTCAGACACACTACAGACAAGGCAATAAAGCAGCCAATATTGGCTTGGGAATTTAGCAATACAGCACCCTGCAGGTTTTGACCCCCTTCATTCCCTTTTCTCCTAATTACTACTACTGCCCAGCACAGAGCGTCCCGCCTCCAGGGCAGCTTTAGACAGGAACGTCTGGGGTGACTGACCACATCAGACACCATTCCTCATAATCTGATGCTACAGTTGGCCCCATAAGTGTGTAGACACAGCCAGACCCGCCTCAAACTGCCTCTGGCTTTCCCAAATGTACCTATCTGGCTGCCATCTCCTTCCCCACCAACACCTTCCCAATGCCAACTGAGGGGCTGCAACGATTAATGACTTAATGGCATTATATGGCTTGAAGAGTGAGATACGCTGTACGAAAGTTCAATAGTTTTCATTAACTGGCTCATGACATACAGGCCAGATGTGACTTTTCAATTTGAAAGTTTAGATACGGAGAGGGAGAGATTTGTTTTAATTAGTTCTTCATTTAAAAAAATAAAAAATAAAAAATTGCAAGGTGTCTTTTGAGACAGGAAACTGAAGTAATTTACAGAAAGACTCCTGGAGATTCAAACTCTACCAGAACCCAGACCAATAGTCTGAGAAAGTTGAAATGACTGCTTCTTTTTCCTGCAATTCCTATTTGGTTGAGTTGTGAATATTGCTTTTGTTGAAACATTTCTCTGCATGCAAAGCGTGATCTCTGGAAAAGTGAAATTTTCTACTAAAAATCTTATTTTGCCAAAATGTTTATACTTTCTGTTGGAAAAATGGAATTTAAACCATTTTAATTTGTTGAAGAGGACTGACTTGTTTCATTTCTTGCTAGTTGAAAGTTAATCTGAATCTCTACTGGAGTTACTGTGGTATTGTAAGAGCACAGTAACTCAGGTCCCTCATGCCTGGTGCTCCACTGTGTCCCACAAATCTTGTCTGGATTGCATTTTTTATAGCACAAGCCATCATGGGAGATACTGTCTGGCCAAGGATTTTAAACACCCAAACCACAACTCACATGAGGCGTTTCCAGTACAGCATTTCCAAAACAAAACACACACATACGTGCTTTTTTTGGGATGGCTGAGCTTCATACTCTGCAAAAAAATGTATCAGTCAATAATTAACTGACTGTAACTCAACTTTTCAGCACAGTCTCCTGCAGAACAGGAATCCCCAAATTTAACAAGTTGCTGTCGCTTAGACCAACTAAAACGGAGACACCCACTACGTTCAGTCTTACAAACTCTTCTCCTTGCCAAGAACGGGCTGTCTCTTACAAGGTACTTTCCAGTAATTTCCCAGTCAATACTGAAATGCTGCAAGACATGAAGCCTACATTTCCCTTGGGGTATTACTTCACAGGTCTCCTCGTTAGGAACTATTAGATCACCAGCATGCATTTTCCTTCTCTTAATTTCACCTTGCTACTCTAATCAGGCCTCCTTGCACCACTTTAAACGATTCTCCCCCTTCTTTCAGTGCTTCTTGCATGTAAGGCTCAGTGGATGAAGCTCTGGGGCAGGGCCGCAGGGGTGAGCCAGGCTGATGCTACTCAAGCACTCCCTGCGCTTGGGCTCTCACCTCCTCAAATCAGAGCAGGGAAAGGAGGATGACAGTCATTGAGCAAGCAGCTGTCTGTCCCACGGCTCTTCTGCTACAGATGCTTTGAGAGAGCAGGTGATGGCTTTCAAATCTTTTTTCATTTGCCACAAGAAATTAAACACGTGGCCCTATTAGCCCGGGTGGTGGCCAGATTGGTTTTTCGGGGCATGTGCTTTTGCAGCAGCGTGTAGATGCAGTCCTAAGCTCAAAGCTCCAGAGAGATGCCTCTTTGCCCTAATCGTGCTGACTACAGCATGTTTATCTTTCCCTGATATGCTATCTTCATCAATTTTACCAGCCCCCTGATGACTGCACACGTTGCTGTCCCCATGCATCATGCTGAGACCTGCTCCTGAACCAGGGCAGAAGGAGAAATTTGTCATCAACTCTTCCATTCGCTTGACAATAACACGGCCTAATATTTCATGAAAATGAAGTGCCCAGAGCACTCCTGATAGTTTACAGTTGTGATAAAGGATGGTCAGATGGATACTGTCAGCCATTAAACAGTTTGCAATCACAGAGCTCTGGAAAGAAAGTAAAGGCCTTTGGGCCCTTCTTGGTGTCAAATGTTGTGTCGCCAGTGTAAAGGATGTTTCTACGAGCAATTCCTTGCTGAATCAAGAAGTCATCTTTTTTTTGCAAGCTTTCTACCTACATGCAAGAATCCCTTGTAATCTATGTTTGCTCTGAGACACCAACGCTGCTTGCTTTGTAGCACAGAAAACTCGGGCATCATTTTTAAAGTTCTCACGCTTGAAATATTCCCTCCCTCCTTTTCTACCCAAACACCACAGCAGCAAGCTGAGTCCCAAGTACCCATCGAAATGCTTCACTCAGTCGCTGCAGCTCTGCCCTGTACCTTGCTGGGCTTCCTGCTACACGAGCCACTTGCCTGCCTGGCAGATTTTGATACCTTGCTCCCAGCTGCTGGAAAAGGTGCCAAGAGTATTGTTCCCAAGGACAACGAGACCCAGCAGCTTACTGCCTCGGCCCCACAACACGTCTCGCACCAAGAAGGTTACCTGTGTGGTTGGGGACGCTGGGGGCAAGCCCTCGACTTCAGTCTTGACTTTGCTGCGCTTGTTAATTACTGGATTGACTGTGCTGCTCACGGCCGACTCGCTGCTCTGCTTGCTCTAGGAAAGAAAACCAGGCAAGGTATGGCACCGGGCTTGGGGGTGAGAGACTGGCTGCAGCCCACCTCTTCCTTAAAAGTTAACTAAAAAAATCAGTCAAGGTTGAGCTTCAGGAGTGGCTGGGGACAATGGGGTATTGGCCTGCTGGCCTGGGTTTCACATGAAAACAACCCCATGTGGGTTTGTGCAAGGCAGAGATGGAAGAGAGGGAAGAGTCAAGGGCAGTGCCAGCTTTTGCAGGCTCACCAGTGAGCTTGGCCTCGCCGCTGCTGCTCCGTTTCAGAGCAATCCAGTCCCTGTCAAAGCCATCAAAACCTTATGCAACCCCCACCCCAGCCACAAATTTATTTCTCAATGCGATGAAATGATTTGTTGAGAAAACGAACTCCTGGGGGAAACGGGGGGCTCTGGTTACATGCAAGGGCTCCGGCGTGCTGGGTGCATGAAAGGCTATGTGTATATTTTGCTAAGCTCTTAAAAATGAGAACAACTTCAGGAGAAAAAACCATCCCATTGTATGTGCATAAAATTGGAACATTAACATTTTAAATACACTCTTGCTAATTGCTCAAAATTGGTCCTGCAAGTTATTAAACAGAGGCATAACTCCTGCCAGCCACATTATTTTGGTAGCCAGTTTGTGAGAAGAAAACAAAACCAATCAATCAAATAACCTTCAATAACAAACAGAGTTTGCAGTGCAGCAGCCATGAGAAACCCTAAAACAATAAACCAGTCTGAAAAGTTCAGTATGATACAACTAAAACAACAATTTGAAATGGGTGTGAAATGAGGTGAAATAAGTCTTTGGGGAAAAAAGCAACTGCAATTCAAACTTCCAAGGAATGAAAATGGGAAGGAGAAATGATTAAAAATGTGCTAGAAGTATCCACTAAACTTGTGCACATGTAGGGCTTGTGCACAAATACTTGTGCCTGTGTAAGCTCACAGGTATTTGCAAGGATGCATTTGAGGCGTGGGATTTTATACACATCGCAGCATTCCTACTTCTCAAAATCTGGCCCCTGCTTTTGCAAAAATCAACAGCAGGGATACCCCAAGAGAGAAAGCTACTGAAGAAGAAGCAACAATAAGTAAAATGGCTAGAGGTTCTAGGTAGGACGCACTAATTTGTTGAAGAGGAAAGGGATAAGGTGTTTTAAGACCATTTGCACAGTTGACGTGTTGAAAAAAGGAAGGGGGAATTGGTGAAGGAACTGATGAAGCTTCGTTCACAGTGCTCAGGTATTTATCTGGCAAAATAGAGGGTGGCGTGGCCTGGATTTCAATAGCACATATACATGTTCAAGGAGATTTGTTGCTTGAGAGGACCCTGCACATCATGTTCAACGCTTTGATGGATCAAGGCCTTTGGTTCCTGCATGGGCAGGTACTTTGCCAGGAGGAGGAAAAAACAATGTAAAGGGAGAGCGTGAGTAAAAAGTGAGTGGGTAAAACTCCCACAGCCACCATGAGTGGTAGCACTTATCCCATGGAGAACGTGCCTCCATTTCCTCCTGTGCCATGCACGGAGTGAGCCAAGACAGCCGTCCCTACCTGGCTGGAGTCAGAGACACAGTTGCTGTTGCTGCTGATCTGCGCCGGCGGCGGGTTGACGGAGATGACCGCCATGTGCTGCCGTGGGGGGAAGGTCGGGGATGGCTGGATCAGGGGAGGAGTGTGTCCAAAGGCTGAGCTCAGGCCTCTCTGCTGGGTCAGGATCTGCTGGTACGTCACGGGGTTAATGGGGTGGGGGAAGCTGAACGCTGGGCTGCAGCAATAGAAGGAGGAAAAGTGATGAGGAGTTATTTTAAACAATATTTATCACATTAGCTAGTGACTGATTCAAGTTTAGCTTCCTGGAGACTCCAGGAGACAGGCTGCAATGACCCAGCTAGATGCTTTCAATGCCACGATAAGCCTGACAGCCTGTTTTACTAAAAATACAGGATTTGTCTCGTGTGCGCCTCAGCAAACTTCTGATTCATTTCGACCCACATATCAGACTGATTGTAATTTCTTTGCTTCCCATGTTTAAAAACAGGCAAAGCCCTTGGCAGGGAGTGCAGAAGAGGACAGGACTCGGACACATCTGGCTTTGCAGCCCCTGAGGCTCCCAGGTTTTCCCATGCAGATCTATTCTGCAGACCCACGACCTTGGGGTTACGCTACCCTGGATGTGAAAAAACAGTGTCACCTGGCTCACCTGGCACATATCACAGCGGGGATGAATAACTATCTACTTAACATAGTCCCAAACCATGCAATTTACTCTGCATTCAGGTGAGGGGAGTGCTGGCTCAGGGGACTCCTGAAGTATGTCACCCTTCATATGTAGGTTACTGGTTCAGCTCCAATCTAGGTCAGTGGTGACCAGAAACTCCACCAGCTCCTGCCTGCTTGGGTGCTAGCTGGGAGCAACAGGTCAGAGCCAGGATGCAGCTGTGGACAGCATTAAAAACAAAGTGCTGCTTCTGGAATCAAGGGGAAGAGATGGAGAAGCATGGGAGATGCTCTGCTCCCTGCACTCTAGGTGGATGATGCATGAACCATAGACTCTCAGCCCAAAAATCAATAATTTGCCACCTTTAAGAGGTGGCTACCCTGAACCTTTACCCTTACGGAATTTTCTCTCACATCACTAAAACTGCCCACGACACGAGTGCTCAGAGAACAGGGCCATAATTAGCAACATGCTTCATTTCCAATTTTGCTTTTAGAGAAAATACTTATTGCTGGTGACCATAGAATTAGTATTTCTGTTCCAAACCAGTTAATGACAACGTGACTAAAAGAATAAAGGGCAAAAATCACTACAGTGTAAAAGAGCTCTGGGAGTTAGATACGTGCTGCAGCAAATGAGGTGTGATGGCAGGCTGCTGCACAGCTTTGTTATGTTACAGCAAAGCCCAAAAATGACTTTCTGAAGTGCTACTAGGATCTGGGTCTGAGCCACTAAGACATTGTTAAAATAATAACAAAAAAATCTTTTCACTCCAAATTTCTGACAGTTATCATGTTATATACATAACCCATTTTACAATTCCTGACATTCAAGGTACACCTTTAGAACACTGAGAAGAGTTTAAAATTCAGTATTATTACTTGATTACTGCTTCGCAGGCCAACAACTGATCATTGGGTCAGACTCTGCACTCTACTAATTTGTTGAAAATAGCAGATGCTACCCTGAAGAGCTTAAAATTTGAGTATAAAATGAGATGCTGCAGGTATGTCCAGTTAAAGACAACAGGTGACAAGACCAGAAAAATACGATTACCAGACAAGGAGTTGCTATGTGTTTAAATTAGCATTATGTTTGATTCTACAGTCAGTTTCTAAGTGATGCTGCCAGATAAAGTAGCTGATAAAATTAATTTTACAGTTACTAATAGCAATGTTTATGTTTTCCCCTACAAATTTTAGGAGTGCATGATCTTCATAAACCCTTGCTTTGCAACATCAGTGTTAATTAGAACTAACATTTTTAACAGTTAAGTAATAAAAAGAATAATAACATTGTGAAACTTGGGTGAAGCAATCACTGCAGGAATTGACAACAGTGAGCTGCCAGTGTAAGTGCTTTTTAATTAAGGTTTGAGTAAAACTTTACTCAAGGGCTTAGATTTGTTTTAAGTATGTTTTCAGAATTAGGCTCTTAAACCCACCCAGGCAACATTTTTTTTTTAAGGATGTGGACCAATAATTTGGAGAATACTTTGGGGCAATCTCGTAAATTAGAGTGTTTCTTAATCAGTCCAACCGCTCACAATGAGCATTTTTGAGATTAATTTATTCTCCATTTCTGCTTGCAGGGAGGCACGATCATACTGTAATTACTGCAAATCTGGAAACCGATAATCCAAATCCAGCACCCCACCCTCCCATGTCGTGTCCTATGTGTCCCCCTCTCCCTCCCATGCCATGAAGTACCTTCCATATTGAAAACCAGATGGAGGTTTTGATTTAATACACTCCACAGCCCCAACACACAAAAGCAGAGGTTGCAAGGAAGGGAAGGTCTCCCCTGCTGGAGGATCACCCCTCCTTTTGGGGGGATGGCTACAAATCTGAACGGAGCCGGTCCCAGAGCTTTACCTGATTGTCCCGGCAGATAAATGGCCGTAGGAGCCACTCGCCGCTGAACTGCTCCTGGAGTTGTTGATATACGCCACGAGAGAGTTTGGGGAGGTCCTGATCATCGTCTGGAGATCAATGCTGGCATCAGACAGCGGGGAGATAGACAGGGCTCGTTTTCGGCTTAATCTTGGAGTCACCCGCGGGCTCGAAAACCGGGACACTGTAGGAAAGAGAGACTTTGTCAGAAAACACCAGCTGGCTGTTCCCGTCCTGTGGGACCACGGGAGGTGCTGAGACCTGCTGCACTCGTGCCTGCTGTGGGATGTTCAGGAGCCCACTGGGACTGGCTGCCCTTTGACGGGGGGTTTCCTCTCTGCTGGGCGCTGAATGGCAGGGGTCAGGCAGTGCCGTGAACAACCGCTTCCATCGCCCTCCTCGGGGGATAAACAGAAGCCTGTCCATCACCCCCTTTCGTCGGCACTAAATTAACTTAAAATTAAAAGGGGAAAGGCCCCGCAAGGTTTCCGTGAGCGCAGCCATCCCCGTTGACTCGGTGGCAGGAGCAGGGGGCCAGGAGAGCCGCACGTCAGAGCGGGGGTGACCCTTGGAAATGGTGCGTGCGCTTGTGTGCGGAGGGAGCGGAAACCAAACGAGCGCGAGCACAATGCTGACCATCCAATTAACGAAGGAGGCGAGGCTCCAGGAGCCCCGAAAGTAAATTAAGGGTTTTAAGAAAACCAATTTGGCAGCTCAGGCACAAAGTTCAAGCTCTGCCCCTCCGAGGGGACCTGCCAGTGCCTGGACCCTATTAGCAATTGTCAATCACTCGGGCATGAAGTCATTTCCAACCCTGCCAGTCCCATTTGTGGATCTGCAATACATGGCGAGTTACTACTGTACCAATTTGGCCTCCGCCAACGTTTCGGCACTGCTAACTGGAATGACTGACTTCATCCAGAGGAAGCTCTGCCCAGGCCTTGCCCACCTGCAAATCTCCAGGGTGGCATGGACGGGAGCTGGGGACTGGCCATATCCCAATGCCCCCTGATAGCAGGGTGCCAGATCCAAAGCCTGCCTGAGCCCTAGACTGTCTGAAACGGCTCATCACTCCAAATCAATGAGAACAGTATTTAGGTCATCTAATTTTTTAAAAAAAATAAATTCTAAGGGTAAAATATGCCAATTGGCCATGGGGTCCAGCTGGTAATTCCCATCACCCACCCAGGGGTGCAGGAGGGCTCAGCTGCTCCAGCTCTTTCCCTCAACGAGCGCAGCACTGTATTACTACCTGGCTTTTCCAGCAGTGCTCTCCCCAGAAAGCTTGCTGTGGGTATATCCTATTAAACGCTGTGAAGAAAACAGTAACTTGCCCAGACAGGCAATATGAACTGTTTTCCTCTAGCTGGTTGAAAGGACCGGTGATGGCTGGATATGACCAAATACAAGTCTGGCACTTTGCAAGAGCATAAACTTTCCATCCTGACGACAGTGCTGGCATGTGAGAGGGTGAATGGGATGTGCAAGGAGGTAAAATATAACCTGCCAGCGTGACCAAATAGTTCCTTGATTTGTGTTGGCTCGCAGAAATTTGTGTCAACGTTTCCCTGAGACCAGTGGCTGGGTTGCAGTCTCCCAGTCTCCACATGACTCACCCGTGCGCCTAAGTGGCTCTAAGTGTCATTGCCATACCTGGGTGCTGTGCAATCGACAGGGTTTAGTCCCCTTATTACCCATCATGTAATACCATACCCATTGCACAAGATAAATGACTTGCCCAAGGTCCCACTGGAAGTCCAAGGCTGAGTTGGTACTTGAACCAAGCACCCTTGTGACTTTTATCTTACACCTAAGCAGGTTCAGGAGTTGTTAGCTGCAATGCCTTATTGCAATACTGACAATATTGGAAATTTCTCCTAAAAATCAGATTGTTGCATATATGCTGAACATATTCTTCTTACAGTATTTTGCACGACTACATTTTGCAGCCTCATGGGCCAGGGAGGTGTTAGAAAACATGACTCAAGGATCAGGTAGCAAACAGAAAGAGCACACGGTGGTCTATAAAAGTCACATCCTGAGTTTTAAAGTTGTCCCATGATTGGAAGGACTGGATTCAAACTATCCTAACTCTTGTGCCTGGCAGACTCCAGTCTCGATTTGCCATAGTGAGTGACACTTCCCTCAGGAGCTGGAAAAGGAACAACTGGTTAGTAGAGGCAAAACCAAAACTAGCAAACTCCCTTCAGCAACGGTTGGCCCTGCCTAAAGGCTGGACTGGAGTATTCCCAAACTTCACACCTCATTCATGAAATTTGGGCCCTGCCAGAGCAACATGAGGGTCAAAACTGTGCTCTGTCCGCAACATATTAATTAATGGACTTGAACTTAAACTCTTTCTGCTTTTTCATTTCTTTCCTTTCTTTTCTGTTTCTTCTGACTATAAGGCATCTTGATTCAATACATGGGCCATGACCCGGGAAGACCTGGGTGCTGTTCCCAGTCCTCCCCAACATATCTCCTTGAGCATATTGATTCTTTGTATGTCCCTATTTCCCGGGACATCTATTTAGATGAGCTCCTTTAGATGGGGTTTGTGTTTTATTCTGTATGTATTGCACCTAGTGTGATGGGGCTCCATCTCAGCTGAGTTGTCAGTGTTTCTGTCCCACAAATAATATGCGTCTTTCCAGATATAGATATTGTTTTCTGAATTTGCATTCCCACAGTCTCCTCCTTCTCTAACAGAAGGAAGCAGGCCAGATTTGACAGTCATATTTATCTCTGTTACTCCCACACCTCAAGGGAGATCTGTTTATTAATGTGCCACTTCCCTTGATAAATTACTAAATAGAAAGAAAAGCCTTGTACTCATTTCTCGCTGTTCCTTCCCATGATTTATGTCCACAGTGCTGGCTCAGCCATTGGTTGCCATTAATTTGCAGAGGGAAGAAGTCCTGATGTCCAACAGAAACCTGGCTTTTCCCAGTGCATCCAACGTGGGCACCCCTCCCCTCTGCACACAGGTACGTCATTTTATCCCCGTGTAAAACTCTGCTGGAAGCTGTCAGATTTGCAAGCTGGCCTGGGACTTCTCCAGCCCAAACCCAGTGATATGCATTGCATTACTGTCTGCTCTAATTTAGATCTTGCAAGTACCATGGGCTACCTGAAATGTTTGATAGCAGATCCGATACGTTGGGCTAACGCTTTACACAAAAGCCTTTTAGGTCTTGTGGGCTTCCAGGGAAAGCTGTGACCTAAAATCATGCTACAGATGAACAATTCCTCTCTTCCCAATGACAGCCTGCCCAAGGTGCCTGGGAAGGGAAGCGCCTGGGAAATGGAAAAGGAGTTTAACCACATGGAGAAGTGCTCACAAGTGCATTTAGGAAGAGGGAACCTTTTCAAAATTATTATTCAAAAGCAGATTTGCAGCACTGGGATCATTCTAAATAATACAACTGGCCTGACCTAATCCCCTGGTCTGAGGACACCGAGTACGAATGTGAAATGGCACCAGGCAGCAGCAAAGGTAAGCATTAGCGTAGCTGTGCACAGAGACAAGGTGTTCAATACGGGCTGCCCTGCAGCCACTTGAATACATAAGCAAAATCCACTGTTGCCTGAGGTCCAGTGATGTTCAAAGGAAAAAACAACTTCTTCAGGAATGACTGTGCCCAGAGAAGTAAATGAAGGCGGGATCCATTTTTCAGAGACAAAGAGCCTCAGGAGGATTTATCACTAGCACTCCCCCTCTCATCTCCCCTTCAAAAATGCTGACTTATCAAAATGAATGGGGTTAGTTTTAAGACTTTTTTGATGTTTGGAAAATAAGTTAGGGGAAGAGTTTCCAAACTGTCAGAGTACGCCCTTCAACACTCTCAAAAGAAAAAAACCTGGTATTTTTATGTTCTTGTTCTAAAAGACATTTTGTTGAGACCAATAAAGTCATCACAGGTTAAAATGAATTTGAAAAGGCTACAAATTGAAATAAAAATAGGAAATTATTTTAAAATTAATTTCACTCATCTGTCAGAGTGTTGATTTTTAAAATTAATTTATCTGTGCCTCTCTATCTCAGATGAAGACCTTTTTTACCTTCAGTTTCTTTCCCTTGAATACTTCTGAGAGATGGGAAAACTCTCTCACCCAGATCCAGAGTGAAGTGACGGGCCAAAGCCCGCAAGTAAAACAAGAAACAAGACAACTCCATGAGCTGCTCTGGATCATTGCCTCCTCTGGTGTCCAGTAATTTTTGTAGCCAAGCACATTTACAGCATGCCCTTACATGCTGTAAATACATACCCATACATTGCAGCATGGGTGTTCTTTGGTGATGGCTCTCTCCGTATCAATTTGCTCTGCTACTTCTACTTCTCACCTGGAATAAAGACCTATTAAAGCTAGCAGATGTTTTCCATTGACTGCCATGGACTTTAGAACTTGGAATAAATATGAATTCAAAAGCTGACCTAGAGACACCCTTGTTTCAGCTATCTCAACTTTACTTTCAAACGAATTTTTTTCCCACTTGAAAAACATGCTATTGTTTATGTGCTCGTTTTTGGACATACTAACAGCTTGATTTCTATTTATTCAGTGTATATTAAAAGAATCAGCTCTGAATGAAAGAAACCTGATTTTTTTTTTGTTTTCTTTTGCAAAAGCTAAAGATACCTGCTTAGAATTCAAAACTCTTTCAGATTTCAAGCAACGACAAATATACTTTGGCCTGAAGTAAGACACAGGAAATTTTAAGCAAAAAGACTGTCCCCATCTCCCTACACTCTCAGAGTTAGGAGGAGATTAAAATGGCAATGTGAAGTGGTGAACACATGGATGCAGTAAAGGTTGAGCCCAAAGCTCTGGGCATTGGCGATAGTGGATGGCAGTTCATGAAGGTCAGTAAAAATTTTACCATAGGCCTTTACTCCTTTCTGTCTTTTCTTACAAAAAGTCAATTCCAGATACATTTTATAGTGTTTTAATTGGAGCACACTGCCCCTTCCAATCCATTTCATACCCAGACCCAGATACGCTGACTGTCATAGGCTCAGCTCTATAAACTAGAGAATAAAAATAACCCATGTATTAAAAAAATATTTCAAAACTGCCTAGAATAACTTTTCAGTAGAAAAAGCTGGACTTAACAGCAGCATTATCTTTGCAGGCTAAATGTAAATGCCACAGCTGACAAACAAAGCCATTTCTCTCCCATAG